CTCTTTCTAAGACAATAAAGGCTAACAAAAATGAGGCAATTCAATTTTTTACTGAAAGAATCTCTTTCATCAGGAATAATAATTATTTGTGCCTTCGGGGATAAGAAGTTCATGATCAAGAGTTCCAATAAATTTATCCTTAGAGTGGATCAATCATCCTCAAATCATTTAAATAAACTTCCGAGTGATACTATGTACCCTGTTTCTTAAAATCAAAATAAGGTATCACAAAACTTCACAATTGTATTCACGTTCAGTTTATGAACAGAGACTCAAGTAAGACTCAGTAGTGGGCAAAAACATCCTCTCATTTACTATAAACGAAGAGATCAAGATCAAAGCATATTTGCCCTTCAATTTGGTTCTTTCTCTCTTTAAAATGCCACTGCGTAAAGTTCATACCTAAGTATAGTTTATAAATCCAAACTTAGTGATGATGTCCAGTGGTAAGCAGGGCAGGTAATAAAGATCCAACAACCAGTGCAGCAAGTTCAGAAAATCGTAAGGAACCGCCCCCACTCCCATGGCAGTTTCCTGAAGTACGATTAGTAAGCTCTGGTAAGACATGGACAGTGGCAACATACAAAAATGTTCCTGCACTAAAAAGCATTGACAGCCCTGTGGCATTGACAGATGATAATGTGTCTTTTCCCTCCTGGAAATTTTTTGAGAACAAAATGAATTACTTTCAAATAATTTAAAGCATGTTAAATATGACAGAAAACACTGGGAGAAGAACACTGTACCTGTCCTATTCCAAAGTACGTCAAGAGAGATAGCAGAGGGGCTGCTACTGAGAAAATGAAGAGATGTTTACGTATCCTTTTCCGATCAACACCTTCATGGAGAAGAAAAGTTACTAGACCGAAAGCAGCAGGAGCCTGGTACAGCAAAAACAGAGAATGAATTTACCAAACTAGGGAGTACTATTTTAATTAGATGGTCAACGGGCATCAAACTCAAATTTGGCTGGGCCCAGTTGTTACCTTGTGCAGCATGATTGCCAAAAAAACTATCATCTCAACATCTGTGTGTGCTGTGGATGCTGCAGCTCCTAGAGCCACTCCATCAACAGCTGCATGGACTACAAGACCTAATGTAGCAGTGAAGCTTCGTTCTCCTCCTTTCCCACCACCCTCAATATCTGCATACAAATTAAACATTTTGCTAGAAACTTGAAAGAAGCTACAATATATTTATTTGTGAACTGTCAAGTGACAATATACTCAACTCACCTCTTGATTTCGCCATAGATATTTGGTCAATTAAAAGCATAAAAACAAACCCTAGTACAAGTGACAATCCAATTAGAGAATGAATGTCACTTAGTTGGTCATGGCTATGTGGCTCCTCAACTACAAGACCCTCATTCTTAGAGCCAACACTAGCATGAGCTGTAAAGCAACAAGTTTTGTTTTGTTTTGTTTTGTTTTGTTTTGTTTTTTTCAAGAAAAGAAATTATTAAACATAGGTAAAATATAATTAAATTAAAGAGTACATGAAGGATCTTACTTACAATGCACTACTTGAGGAACGTCAAGTAGGGATCGGACACCTTCAGGAATGATAACAGCTAGGGCTGTACCCACAAGGAGACCAGCTCCCAGAACAGAAACAAGCTGTAATTTCTCCTATAAAATATATAAGAAACATAGCGATCAGAAACAACAAAATATACAAAGCATCTGGAATCTTGGGGTTAGTGGGACAAAATAAAAGGTATGAAAAAGTGAGGTACTTGATTGTCCACTACATAAAGCGAGTGTAATTATGCTGAAATTTGACTGTTAACACAAGTAGGAGCGATTTAAGAAGAGAAAAATATGAGAAGTAGGCCACAGCAGAAAAGTTTACCTACCTCAGACATTGACATCACTAGTGGAATAGATCCAGCCACGAAACTTCCAACCAACATAACAATTGCGAGAAGTAACAACATTGTGGTTTCTTCCATACTTCACAGAGTAGCCAAAAATTAAAAGAATAATCTCTTAGCTCATGAGATCCATTCTGTCAACGTATCCGTGTTTGTTATACCTGACAGAACCTGAGCGGGGCTACACGGGGGAGGGGCAGGGGGCGCGGGGCGCGGAGTGGCGGAGGGGGAGGTGGCATGTTTGCATTTCTCATTTCTCTCTCGCTTTCGAATAACTTCGGCTCACAATGCTTCGGCTTTTCGGCTGCTGTCGCAGCTACACT